ATCATGAATGGCGACGATTTTGCAATGATTGCACTAAGATGGTTCGCCATAACGCAACAGTTTTGTCGAAATAAAATTTTGTAAATAATATTTGTCAAAAATTGGAAAAGAGTCGTTATGCATTTCCACGTACGATACCTCCAATAGACAAATTGTGAAAATATTGCACAAATATGACATCGTGAGTGACGACGATTTCTTGCATTTCTTCATATTCAATCATATTTCTACATATTTGAAACATCACATAGCTGAATTTCTTTTCTCAATTATTGAACAATTTCTTTGTGAAATTAATTTTGCAAATATACTGCTAAGATGATTCGCTATGTCGTTATTCTTTTGCCGTAATAGTAATTGGAAAGTAATTTTGCAAACAACTACAAATATTTCAGAAAAGATCAATGGTTTTGCATTTATTTTCTAAAATATGTCTGTATAATTGCAAATTACAATTTGAGTGAAAGATTTTGTCATATACTTTTGTAAATGGTTTCCTATCAGGGATGAAGATATGAGTCGCTTGGACCAACTCAGACGTTATCGTAAAACGTAAGATTAAACATCTAAAATGATCACTGCAAAATTGTCAATATTGTTTTTATCACTTTTGACTGGTTTTTACACATTTCTGTGTTCGTTTCTTGGTAAGAAACAATATTGTGTAAAATACTTTACGTCATTATAATAATACATTGCAAAATAATATTCTCACATAGAAACGTTTTTCACATGATATTGCAAAGTTACGTGCGCACTTTGATCGGTCTTTGTGACGTTCGTAGCTACCAGGTCATAACGGAAGTGCTGACATTTAATCATTTTCATGAGCTGTATTGTCAGAAGCATGTTAATATTCGTTTTATAGAAACCAATGCCAAACGAGCTGCAAAAACTACGTGATATTTGATAAGACGTCATATATTATAAATGATAAAAACGATAAAATTACTTAATGCATTGCCATTATGATGTTTCAGGATGGACTGGCTTCATAAAATAACCAAAATATTGTTTGTAATTATACTATGCTACATCTTGTATTCACGTTCATGATCGTACAATACGTAACTTAGAGTATAAATCAAGGAAATGAGTTTTTTTTATTTTCTGCTATAAGTGAATGTTTTTGGAAAAAGTGAATGGTTAAATTAGTTTGTAATAGTAAACTTTTGATGGTAACAACAATACGAGATTGACACGATATTCCATAAATGTATATTGTAGAGAACGTTTCACTTATTTGTATTTTTTCAGTTAAACACATATAAACTAACATATTTGTATATCTGTATTACAAAATATTTTCAAATCAATGTTATACTTGCTGTTTATACAAATGTCAGGAAAGCATCTCTAAATACTATTAGAAAGTTCTAACACATTAGAATGAAAAGATTAAACTATCGGTTATTATCACTTCAACTAGTGTATTTTGAACATAAAACATTTACATGAATAAATACTCTATTCACGTAGGTATTAATTTCTCATCTAGAGAAATCTTTTTTAATACTTTTTTTATTTCGTGACCGCTATAATATCTCTCAATAGCAATGTTTGATTGTGTGTACGGCATCGATGACAAACTCCTAAACGTGAAAATGTAGGCAGACAAATATACGAAAGACTTATGTGTTTAAGTGTATATGGTATTCTGTTCTTCAAAAGAAACTATGTCTTTTTTTATTTTGGACATATTTTTCTATAATTTAGCTAGCAAACAGAGATTGCAACTAGCTTATTTCTCAACGTTTTCCACTTGTAGTTGAACCCGATTGTAGGAAAACGTAATCGTTCATTCGTGAGCGATTTTCAAGAAATTTTGTTTCTGCGCGTTTACCGGTATCACGCTATTATACATCAAAATTATGAATATTGAATATATTATAAGTTTAAATCACACACTCACACACACATGCACATAAATTAATATTAAACACAACATGTAAATGTAAAGTAGACTGCTCTTCGAACTTTTAGAATATTGCATATCATGAAAAAAAGTCTTCATCATTTCCTATAAATAAGCCGACTATTCAGTTAGACTCATTTACGTACAAAAACTTTGACGGACAAGAACGTGCTTAGGTTTGATCACATCAACATTTGTGAGTTGCTGACTATCTACCTATTTGAAACTTCTCAATATCTATCACATACTACTTTATAGACGTTTTAAATATTTTAGTTAATATGAGTGAAGACGCTAATACATTTATACCCACCTTTTACTCTCATCGAAGTGTGTTCATCACTGGTGGCACAGGTTTCCTGGGAAAAGCGCTATGTGAAAAATTACTGAGAAGTTGTCCAAATATTAAGGAAATATTTTTACTGATTCGACCAAAAAAAGGACAAACTATCAACGACAGGTTAAAGAAAATGTTAGAAAACAAACTTTTTGATTTATTACGGCGCGAGCGGCCAAACAGTTTTGAGAAAATTATTCCAATAAGCGGAGACGTGAGTAGGGAGGATTTAGGATTATTGTCAGAGGACAGGAAAATGTTAAGTGAAAATGTGTCGATAATATTCCACGTAGCGGCTTCTGTCCGCTTTGACGAGAGTCTGAAAGATGCGATTTTTACAAACTTACGGTCGACGCGTGACATTTGTATTTTGGCCCAATCTATGAAAAATATAGTGGTAAGTTTTTTTTATCGATTTATATTGTTTCGCAAGTACGTTTTTCTCAATAACTTTTTGTGCACACATGACATATTCTAATGACGTTATGTTTAATTTTATATAAAAAAAAGGCTCTGCTTCATGTGAGCTCGACGTACACACAAAGCGATAAAGCCATCGTGGACGAGGTCTTGTATCCTTTGGAGGACGTTGACTGGAGAAAGACGATCAAAATTGCTGAGACCATCGACGATGAGATTCTAAAGATTTTTACAGCGAAGTAAGTTCTATACAGTTGCCCGTGCACACGGAACACATACGGTGTATATATTGCCATTGTCAAAATACGTTTATGCATGTTCATTGATTTTTGCAGATATATTGGAACAATGGCAAATACTTATGTTTTTACGAAAAGACTAGCCGAGCAAGTGATAAATGACTTTTCCGAATCACTGCCTTGCATTATCCTTAGACCATCTATAGTCGTATCATCAGTCAATGATCCTGTACCAGGCTGGATTGACAATTTTAACGGACCTATGGGCATGTTGATTGGTGGTGGTACTGGACTACTACGCGTAATTTATGCAGATTCTAGTATAACTTGCGACTTTATTCCAGTAGATTTAGTGATTAAAGCAATGATAATTGTAGTTTGGAAACGCGGAATACAAAAGTACGTATGTGATAAAGACACTGTTTAGTATTTTTTTTTTTTTAACTTACTTGTTTCGATCAATGTAAAAGTTAAACTTCATACTATGTTTTACAAATCAGCTTCTCTGAGGATAATAGTCTTCAAATTTACAACTGCTCTGTACACAACACGAAAAGCATAAGTCTCGGACAGTTAATACGCGTAGGATTTCGTGCCGTATATGATATTCCTCTTGAGCGAACAATTTGGAAACCACAGACGATTATGACAAATAGTAGTTTATTATATTACATATTGGTGTTAGTATTACATATTGTTCCGGCATTATTAATAGATGCTGTGTTGAAAATATTACGTTTACGTCCAATGTAAGTTGTATTTTAAAATTCTGATATTTACACGCCAGATATTCAAAAATGTGCATTGTCACATTTGAAATTTGTGGTAGAAGTGAAACTGTAATGCATATACTATGATTTATGTAGGTTACTGAAGTTGCAACAAAAGATATATATATCAAACCGTGCGATATCTTATTTTGTAACTCACTTTTGGCAGTTTAATAACACAAATTTAATAAACATCTTCGAGAATCTGAGCGCTGCTAATGAAAAAGATTTTGGATATAAAAATAGTTTGAATTTTGACATAGAAGAATTTTTAAGGTACGTATTAGAGCTCACTCATGGGAATATGTATGTACTACGTACGCAATCCTATCAGGATAATACTTGCTATATCAATAAAAATTTTTCTGTGTTCAAGAAATCTAGAGATTAATAAGTAATTATTATTTTTTATTCTAGACGTGGCATTATCGGTTCTAAACTGTACTTGCTTAATGAAGACATGAGTCCTTTAGAACAAGCTAGAGTTTTACGTCATAGTAAAAGGTAAGATTTACTAAAAAAAAAGCTTTTCTCTGCAAACTTGCTACTTGTTGTTTTCAAATGGAGAGTTTGTTTACTCTCTGTGTGTATTGCATTGAGAAACAATATTAGTCTGTAGGACATTTCGATTAAAGTTGTAGGTAGCATTTTCTGACAGAAACGTTTTACATTAATTCGCGTAGTTATGTGTGCTATTTGATCGCTTGTGATGTTGTTAGGTACAACTTAGGGCATACCGTGAAAACGTTGTTGGCATTCAATAATAATCATGAGTTTTACCGCCAGCTCTTAGAAATTTGTTTATTTTACCCAGCAAACATTTCGGTCACAGAACCATATCCATCTGTGTCCTCAGTAGGATATGGTTTGTTAATCATGTCTGTCAACATGTGAAATGTCAAAATGCGACCAAAATAATGACAGAGTCTGCCACAAGCAAAGCGAGGCCAAATTATCGCCAAAGTGAAGCCAAAATCCGGAATAGGTTTGGTCATTGTCTGTTGGCGCCAAATTGCAAACAGTCCGCACGTATACACGAACAGACCTGCTTGGCGTTTGGTGGCAATCTGTCGTCAATGCGTTTAACAGATCAACCCGACTTTTGTCGTAAACAGATTTCTGATACAATTTTGCGGACTGTTTGGTCACAGTATTGCCAAAAGCAGATCTGCTTGCAATCGACCATCTATTTGTTGTTAATTTCACTGACATATATGGAATCGTTTTGGCTGCAATACTCTCATGTATTTGTCAACAGAGTTGTTGCGTTTTTTCTTTCTGTGTGCTAACAATTTTGGCGGTGTTTCCGTATTGTAGCATTTCTGCAAACAATTTCTGTTACCAAGGTCTGCGCCGAAATTGTCAAAAACAAAAATTGTTTGCTGGGTTAGGTTTATACAGAAGCAGTTTTATTTTTGGACGCTACTAATGATAAAACGTTACATAGTCTAAGTGATATAAACGTAATAAGTTGTGCATTATCATTATTGATGTTTCAGGATGGACTGGCTCCATGAAATAATCAAGATATTGTTTGTGATTCTGCTATTGTATATTTTCTACTCATTTTTCTTGTAAAATACGTTATATTGTATATCAAGAATTATTTCTGTTTTTACGTTAAAATCAGTAATTTTCTTGAAGTTTTCGAGATATACAAATCATTTTGTACAGTATACTTATACCTAGCTGTACAGCTTGTTTTAATTTTTGAAATTTAAGTTGTTAACATATATTTCAATAACTTCAAATTTTGTTTAAGGGTCCACGACTTTTTCTGTCGATTCATATTGTTTCGCAAGTAAATTTCTCTCAATAGCTTTTTGGACTTACCTGACAAAAGTCTAATGATATCACTTTGTTTGCTCCAGAACAACTTTAGAGCAAGAGACTTTGCGTAATGTGAGGTCAGTGTACACACAAAGCGATCAGATCGAAGTGGACGAGGTTATTTATCCTTCTTTGGAGGATGTAGAAAAAGTGTGAAGATTGGAGAAGGACTATCAAGACCGTTGACAATGAGACCATCGATGAAACAGTGGTAAACATTTTTACAGCGAAGTTAGTGTTAGATTACAATTGCGCGTGCACATGAGAGACACATTGTGTCGTCATATTTTGTTAGTGTCAGAATACGGTTGCGCCTGTTTATTGATTTTTGCAGATATGTAGAAACAATAGAAAACATTTATGTGGTTACGAAACGTAGGTCGATCAAGTGATAAACGACTTGTCCGAGTCATTGTCTTTCATTATTTGTAGATTATTCATTAGTATCATCAATCCATGTTTCTGTAGCAATTTCTGGATTGACTTGTTTATTTGTCGGCATGCTTTGTCGGCGGCTAACCGGAGTGATACATATAGTTCACATAGATTGTAATGTAGGTTCCGACTTTATATCCACAGATATATTATGAAACGAATAATTCGTGGAAACATGAAATGCAAAGGTACATACAAATGATATATGAAATTTAGTAGACGTACTTCTTATTTGTGAAGATGGATTTTATTAATAAAAACTTTTTTATAAAATTTAATTTATGAAACTTTTTTCATTAATAAAGCCCAGCTTTAAAAGTAGGTATATGTTTACTACTGACTTCATATAGCATGTATAGACTTGTATTAATACATGTCTATTACACGCTTATCATTTCTCTAATAGCTATCTACAGGTAAAAAATCAAATATTACGGTAAAGTCCATACGAATCACGCGTAACATTCTAGTTTCGCAGCCAAGAAACGTTTCCATAAGTCTGTTGAAATTGTCACTTATCACTCATTGGTACAGGATTATTGATTGATGACGCGAGTATAGACGGTCTGAAAATAACGCGAGACACTGACTTGGAAAACTCACTTATCACTTGTTCGGCTAGTTTTTGTGTTATCACATACATGTTTGTCATTGTTTCAATGTATTTGCAAAGGCAATGAACAAGCGTAAACGTATTTTGATAATGGCAATATATACACGACACAATACGTGTATTTCGTGTGCACGCGCAATTGTAAGGTAGAACTTACTTTGCTGTAAAAATGTGTATGTTTTCATTGATGTTCTTATTGTTAACAATTTTGATAGTCCTTTTCCAATCTTGATAATCCTATGACATCATCTAAAAAAAAAAATAAAAAAATTTTTCTCATCACGGTCTTATCCCTTTGCGTGTGCGCAGAACTTACATTTAAAAACGCTTTTTGCCATAAAGGTTTTATAAATTTTACGTAACAATTTTAGTAGATTTTTGTCGAGTGATCACATGTAGTTATTGAGAGAAATTTACTTGCGGAACAATATAAATCGACAAACTACAATACTTATCTGTGAAGCTGACTATAAGTGTACTGTACGAAACATTTGGTTGACTAGTACTTTTTTAGTCGTCAGCATGAAATAAACATATTAAATCGTAATGAAACAATATTCATATACTATTTCTTTAAGTATTCTGATAGAAAAACATTTAGAAAATTATGTGACGAAATTTTGCATTAAAATTTTAATTTGCAATTATATAGATATATTTTAGGAAACACATGTAAAAACGTTGATCTTTTTATAAAATATTTGTAACTGTTTGCAAAAGTAATTTCCAAATACCATTTCGGCAAAAGAATTACGATATGGCGAATTATCTTAGCTGTATATTTGCAAAATTAAATTCAAAAAGGAATTGTCCAATAAGTGAGAAAAAAATTTCAGTTATGTTGTAAATATGTTGTGTAAAATATGTAGACATATAATTGCATTTGAAGAAATTATGTAATGTATATACTTATGGAAATGCATGACTACTCGTTTTCAAAGTTTCTGTCTTAGTCTAAGAAACGTACTTCTCTATATCTTAGCTGTCAAAATGAGCTCTTCACAAAAATAGTTTAATTGTATGAAAAGATACAGAAAATAAAAATGAACGTGTTCACGTTTGTTTGCATCATTTCACTACTTCACTTGTTATTTACAAATTCCTTTATCCTTTTTACAAATATCATTTCTTTATCTTTTTTACAAATATCTATATGCTTTTTTTTTTGTTATATAGTTATTGCAAGATACTATCTTATTTCCTCTGGCATTTGTGTGCGACACATATGCTAAAGTTTGGACTGAAGGTAATTTCGCGATACTGTTGTATTCTACCTTATGCTGGCCGTTTGACCTACGTAACGTTATGTAAACAAAAATCGACAGAAAGAAAGACTAAATTAACGAATTTATTTGTGAAAAAACGTCACGGCGCGCATCTAGTGTCAATTCTATCTGTCACGGACGCGATAAGAAACATGCGATCTCATTGTTGGAGCTTCCGATATACTTGAGTATAAACTGCTCGGAAAACGCAGAATAAGTGGTTTCATAGCATTTTGAAGACCTTTCTGGATTAGTGCCCAGGTTTGGAATATCAAGCATAATGCTCCAATAATATGTGACATAATCAGTTTTCGTGTTCAAAACCGTATAACAATAATCAATTTTTATACTCAAGACATAGTATACGATACTATAGCTTAGATTTTGTTGACAAAGCTTGGCGACAAAAAGTAACAGCAAATTGCTATAGTAAAAATCGAGCATAGCTTGATAATATAACCTGAGATCAAATTGACGCCAAATATGAAGCGATCCGAAGTTTTGATGCTACTTTCAAACTTTTGAAAATACTTCGAACCTATTGAACTGACAAATATACTTATTTAAACCTACTTTGACGATTATATTCATTTACTTTTCTTTTGAACCTTTAATTTTATAACTTTTACGATACTTTTATTTTGAACTTAAAAACACTCTCGATATTTTGGTGATAAAAGTAGATTTTTTTTACATAGGAAAAAACATTTTTTAACATAAATGTAGTATAAAATATATTTTATTTAAATATAACATTTTTTGAGACAAAAAAGTGCGCGTTATATAAAATTGTACTTTTAATTATAAAAATAATAAAGAATTAATAATAATAAGAGAAATATTTTTATCTATTGTTGCAGATACATTGCACTGGAATATTTCTCTAATAAAATAATAATTTAAATAAATAATTAATAAAATGTGTATAGGATAGCTTGAGAATAAATTAGGTAAAAATAATCATATTTTAGTAAGGAAAAAATGGTTCGAATCCCGCCATCACCTTAGGATTTTTTCAGGTGTAGTTTCTTCCAATGGAGTGTATCAATGAAATCTTCGAAGCTGTGTGAGTGCGCAAGCCGCAAACAATTTTTTAAATGAAATTTTAAGCTTATTTAACCTAACATAATTTGTTTAATCTAAGGAAATCTTTCTGTGTAGGTTCAATAGAGGTTTTAATTGAACCTAGTTTACTACTTTAGCTCCTACAGAAAAAGAATCTACTTTAATCTTAATTTGGAGAAAGTGGAAATTTGTGACACTTTTAGGTTTAAAGTAGGAGTAAATTTTATCCTTGCAATTGAACCTACTTTACTATCGTAACTTCTTTGTATATAGTACAATGAGAGATTCATCAGAGGATCAAAATTTTGACTTGATAAATGTCGTTTTGCTATCAAATCGTGTTGCTGAGATCTACCCGAGTCAAAATTTTAACCTTCCGATGATCCTCTCATTGTACTATATACCCTAACAGGCACGTTTGTGAAAATATTGCAAAAAAATGGTATCATGAATGGCGACGATTTTGCAATGATTGCACTAAGATGGTTCGCCATAACGCAACAGTTTTGTCAAAATAAAAGTTTGTAATAAATATTTGTCAAAAATTGCGAAAAAGTCGTTATGCATTTTTACAGTATATACTTCCAATAGGCAAATTGTGAAAATATTGCACAAATATGACATCGTGAGTGACGACGATTTCTTGCATTTCTTTATATTCAATCATATTTCTACATATTTGAAACATCACATAGCTGAATTTCTTTTCTCAATTATTGGACAATTTCTTTGTGAAATTAATTTTGTAAATATACTGCTAAGATGATTCGCCATATCGTTATTCTTTTGCCCAAATAGTATTTGGAAAGTAAGTTTGCAAACAACTGCAAATATTTCAGAAATGATCAATGTTTTTACATCTATTTCTTAAAATATGTCTGTACCCAGATAACCAACTAAGCTGCAAGTTGTTTGCAACTTGCCAAATATATTGCTCATATCCCGGTAAAAAATTTTTTATGTATACTTATACACAAATTAAAATAATTATATCTATTTATGCAAATTTATGTGCCGAATATGTCCATACAATTTTATACATGGAAAATTTTTTACCGGGATGTTTTCAGCAATGTAACAAAAGAGTGTATCCTCTTTTCAGTATGTTCTTACCAACAACAGTTTTCAAAATATAATTACAGCAAGTTCCCAACAACTCATCGGCAATAAACTTATATTATTTTTCTCAACTTATGAAAAATTATTGCTCATATATTGCTCACATATTGCTGACTCATATGTCCTAAACATTGGCGCTACAACAATTGATTGATAAGAAAACTCACCATATTGATACTGAATTGACAAATACATTTTCGTTGCATTAAATAAAAACAACATAACAGCAATTGGCGAGCAACTTAATCTATACAATGATTTGCTTTATATTGAGTTTTCACAGTTGGCTATCTGGGTATATTTGCAAATTACAATTTGAGTGCAAGATTTTGTCACAAACTTTTGTAACTGGTTTCTTATTAGGGTAATAGAAGTTACGATAGTAAAGTAGGTTCAATTGCAAGGATAAAATTTACTCATACTTTAAATCTAAAAGTGACACAAATTTCCACTTTCTCCAAATTAGGATTAAAATAGATTGTTTTTATGTAGGAACTAAAGTAAAATAGGTTCAATTTAAAATCTCTATTGAACCTACACAGAAAGATTTCTTTAGATTTAACAAATTTTGTTAAATTAAATAAGCCTAAAACTTTAATAAAAAAATGTGTTTGCGGTTTGCGCTCTCACACAGCTTCGAAGATTTCACTGGAATTAATTTTTGAAAGCCCGATTCAGCTCGCTAATCAACCGATGAACTCCATTGGAAGGGGCCAGACCTGAAAAAATCCTTAAAATGATGGTGGGATTTAAATTCGAGATTTTCATATTCGCAGCTCCCTCACTCAGTCCGCGAGATCACTTGTTCCTTACTAACTCGTAATTATTTGTATCTATAATTAAAAAAACTCATGCGTAAAACTTTACACGTGAATACATATATACTATACATTTCTACACAACATCCTGCAAAACAGCTCTTATGAGTTTATTCCATATTTCTTATTAGACTTCAGAGAGCTAGAAGAGTCTTTAGTAATATGTATATTTTTGACAAGAATGTTTTCTTTTCCGCGATTTCGGTCCTCACAAGCCACTACTTATACGCGGAATACTATATCATCTCTGATTACTAATAAAATAACGTCTTTTATTCCCTACCACCAATCTAAACACAAAAATATTTCCGATATTAACACATAAAAACGAATAGACATGTATTTATCACAAAAATGTGCGGTATCTGATACTCCTCACGACCAACCGTTGCCTGACCACGATATGAAAAAATTGTTTATTAAATTGATTTACGAATTATTAAAGTATATTACAATCTTAATTCTGATCAAATAAACGTTTTTGTGTGTCTTTTTTTCTTCGTTATAAATCATGAATATTCTTGACTGACGTTTAGAGGTGCGAATTCTTCACCTCTATAATGACTTTGCCAAGTTCTGTTTGCTCATACATCTATATACAGGGTGTCTGACAACGAACTATAAAGCCGACGTGTGTAAATAGATCGAGTTATTCTGAACAGAAAAGTTATATACCATTTTGCAAAATTCGCAATATTTATTGAGATATGAATTAATAAATGTGAACCAATGAAGGCGCGGGGAGCGNATAATTCTCGACGCATCTCTAATCTTGTTTTCTTGTGTTATGAAGATGATAATAATTTCTTTCGAATAACAACATTTATCTTATGCCGCAAGTACAGATAAACGCTCGAGATTGCAACATCAAATTTCACGTTACATCATTGAATTGAATCAATTCTTGTTTATCCCGCACGTGACAATTCCATGTGATATGTATTATGTATAATATCAATCTCTTCCTCACCTTGTTTAACGAGAATTCGTGCAATTGCGGCGCCAATTCCGGCGCTGGCTCCAGTAACAACAGCTACTTTTCCAGCCCATCGCTCCATCCTCGTACAACGAGAGTTCTGACACGACTGTGTACTCTCTGTAATTAGATTTGTCTTACGTGCTTTCGATATATTAATACGTAAAAACGAATAGACGTGTGTTATTACGTAGAACGTGTGCGATATCTGATATTCCTCACGACCAACCACTCCCTGACCTCGATATGAGATATTGTTTATTAGATTAAGTTACAATTTATTAGAGTATATTACAATCTTACTTCTGATCAAATAAATGTTTTTGTCTCTTTTTCTTTGTTATAAATCTTGCATAATCTTGACTGACGTTTAAAAGTGCGATTCTTTCACCTCGCCAAGTTCTGTTTGCCCATGCATCTACATACAATGGTATTCTTATGTCGATTTATCCATACTGAATAAAAGCCAATGTCTATCTTACATGTGAACTTATATATATACCGCATTCATTAGTTAGCATATTAAAAAATGTACTTCCTGTGAACTTTGTTCAGCATTACGCGACACCGACTAAATTACACATCATTTTCTATATAACAAACTCAGAATTCGGCTCATTTACGTATTAAATTTTTGTGAGGAACCACCAAGTGCTGTGATGTTTTGTTCTTGACCACCGTAGATAAAACATTAACTTCGTTGACATTAAAAGTGCACAGTGTTTAATTAATAATAATATTTTACATTTCTCATTATTTTACTATTTCAACGCAAGGCACTTGATATTCTGTTGTGCCTATTTTACAATCGGTTTGAATATTTTAGTTAATATGAATGAAGACGCTAATACACCTATACCCACCTTTTACTCCCATCAAAGTATTTTCATTACTGGTGGCACAGGTTATTTGGGTAAAGCATTATGTGAAAAATTACTTAGATGTTGTCCAGATATTAAAGAAATATTTTTACTGATACGACCAAAAACAGGACTCACCGTCAACGACAGGTTAAAGAAAATGTTGAATAACAAGCTTTTTGATTTATTACGGCGCGAGCGGCCAAACAGTTTTGAGAAAATTATTCCGATAAGCGGAGACGTGAGTAGGGAGGATTTAGGATTATTGCCAGAAGACAGGAAAATGTTAAGTGAAAAAGTGTCGATAATATTCCACGTAGCGGCTTCTGTCCGCTTTGACGAGAGTCTTAAAGATGCGATTTTCACAAACTTACGGTCAACGCGTGACGTTTGTATTTTGGCCCAATCTATGAAAAATATAATGGTAAGTTTTTTTTATCGATTTATACTGTTTTGCAAGTACATTTTTCTCAATAACTTTGTGTGTTTGACAACATTCTAATTGTAACCGTTATATTTAATTTACATAATCAAAATAGGCTCTAGTTTACGTAAGCTCGGCATTTACACAGTGTGATAAACCCGTCGTAGACGAGGTTTTTTATCCTTTGGAAAACGTCGATTGGAAGAAGACGATCCACATTGCTGAGAAAATTGACAACGAAATTTTAAAAGTTTTTACCGCGAAGTAAGTGCTATATTACATTCGCGTATGTACACGAGATACGTGCGTTGTGTCGTGTATATAGTGTCATTGGTAAAATATGTACTTGTTAATTAATTGTTGTAGATATATACATCCCATGCCCAATACGTACGTCTTTACAAAGCGACTAGCAGAAAATGTTATAAACGATTTTTCTGAATCGTTGCCTTGCGTTATTATTAGACCTTCAATTGTAATACCATCAATTAGCGATCCAATACCAGGTTGGATAGATAATTTTAATGGCCCAATGAGCTTAGTAATCGGTAATGCAACCGGTATTATGCGCGTTGCTTATTGGGACTCTTCTGTGGTACCAGATTGGGTACCAATCGATGTTGTAACAAAATCAACGATAATCGCTGGTTGGAGACGGGGAATGAGAAAGTACGTATGTGATAAAACTTTTTAGTATTGAAGTTATTCTTTTACAATCGAAAATTAAAACTCATAATATTTTCTACGAATCAGCATCGCTGAGGATACGAGCATTCATATTTACAACTGCTGTACCAAGGACATACTGAACGTGAGTCTACGCAAATTAATACGCGTAGGGTCTCGTGTCGCTTATGATATTCCTTTTGAGAGGATTATTTGGAAACCGAATATGATTGGGATAAAACATTATTCTTTATTTTACATACTNGTAGTGATACTACATATTGTGCCGGCAGTTCTAGTAGATACTATTCTGAGAATAGTCCATTTACCTCCGATGTAAGTGTTATTTAGAAAGTTACTTAAAAGCCACATTCGAAATTATTGTTATAAGTGGAAGTGTAACGTAGAAAGTTTTATTTATTTAGGTTAGTAAACCTGCAAAGAAAAATATTCGTATCACTTCTCGCGTTGTTTTTCTTTGCAACAAACTCGTGGCAGTTCAATAACTCAAAATTTATAAGCTTGTTTGAGACCTTAAGCGCTAACGATAAACTTGATTTTGGATATAAAGACTTGATGGATTTCAATATCGANGACTATATTAGGTGCGTATTAAGCCCCTTGCACAATGGAAGGAATAGCGATAGCGATAGAAATAACACAGTTTTTAACACAGAATTCCAACTCGTCGGAAATTTTATCGCTATTGCTTCTTCCGATTTTCTGATCTGCATTGATACATGTGTAGTTTTGTATGTTANATTNCGCTGTTCNTACNTTTATTTTTAAATATAAACTCTTTAAAACTTTTGTTATTTCTATCGCTATCGCTATTCCGTCCATTGTGCAAAAGGCTTTAGACCTCACGCATGCGAACATGTACTTTTGCAATCTGAGCAAACAAATATTTAGTTTGACTTTAGAATTATTCTTTATTTTAGAAATAGAAGAAGTATTTTCTTTAAATAATAATGATTGTTACTTTTTATTTCAGAAATGCACTTATTGGCTGTAAACTCTACTTGCTTAATGAAAACATGAGTCGCTTGGAACAAGCGAGACGTCATTGTAAAAGGTAAGATTTAGTAAAAAAAAAGCTATACTCTTGTTTTCAAGTGAAGTTTTTTTTCACTCTCTGTGTGTATTGCATTGAGAAACAATATTTTTCTGTAGAACATTTTGATAAAAAGTTGTATCTAGCATTTTCTGACAGGAACGTTTTACATAAAGTCGCGAAAGTATGTGCTATAGTTGATCGTTTGTGACGTTGGTAGGTAAAACTTAGGTCATAATGTGGAAATGCTATGGCATTCAATACTTAGTATAAGGTGTACCGCCAGCACTTAAAAGCTTGTTTATTTTAGGTTTTTGCAAAAGAAACATTTTTATTTCCAAAAGTGTATGCTAATGATAAAACGTTACATATTCTATGTGATATAAACGTAATAAGATGTGCATTACTATTATTGATGTTGCAGGATGGACTGGCTCAATGAAATAACCAAGATATTGTTTGTGATTATGCTATTGTATATTTTCTACACACTTTTCTTGTAAAATACATTATATTGTATATCAAGAATTATGTGTGATTTCGCTTTAAAATCAGTAATTTTTGTAAAGTTCACGAACAAGAAATACATTTTCAACAGTATATTTATATTTAGCTGTACAACTGGATTTAACTATTGCATTAAAATGATTTCCCATAACGCAACAGTTTTGTCGAAATAAAATTTTGTAAATACTGTTTGTCAAAAATTGTAAAAAAATCGTTATGCATTTTCATAAGCATATACATATGTATAATTTTGTGCAATGCATTTTTAGAAGTGTATACGTTTATAAAATTTCGCAATATTTTCACAATTTGCTTATTAAGGTAAATGTATATGTTTACTCTGTTATTTAGAATAAAAATTTACGTCTTAGTGTAAGAAATGTATTTTTCTATAACTTAGCTGTCAAAATAAGCTCTTTTCAAAAATATTTTAATTGCATGGGAAGATACAGGAAATAAAACTGAGTCTGTTCACCCATGTTTGCATCCCTTCGCCTCCTCACTCGTTCTTTACAAATTAATTTTCTCTATCTTTTTTACAAAGATCTGTATGCTTTATTTTTTTACATATTGCAAGAATATATATATTAGTTTCTTTAGTGCGACACATATGCTAAGGTTTGGACGTCAGTTAATTTTGCGATGGTATTGTATTCTATCTTAGGCTGGTCGTTTGATCTACGTAACATTATGTAAACAAATATCGACAGAAAGAAAGAATAAAAGTAACGAATTTATTTGTGAAACAACGTCGCTGCGTGCACTTAATGCCAATGCAGTCTGTCGCGGTCGCGATATAAAACGTGCGATCTCGTTGGGTTGACGCTTCCGACATACTTAACTATACATTCCTAGGAAAACGCAGGATATGTGGTTTAACAGCATTTCGAAGTCGTTTTCTGATTATTGTACAAATTTGGTATATATCACGCGTATTGTAACGAGCTCTACGAGCTACCGAAAGAAAAATTTGTCTTCCGTGTTCGAAACCGTATAAAATAATCGATCCCTATATTTGGGACAAAGAATACGATACTACAGTTTTCTAAACATCCTACGCGACAATTTCACTTATATTTTGTGTACGCAGGTAGAACATAAAACAAACAATAATAACAAATAACGCAGCTAAAATTCGACGACAGGTGTCGAACATCGGGAAAACGAATGACAAAACTACTATTTGTCGTAATATCTACGTTTCGTTTGTAGTTCGCCGCAAAGTTCGAGTATCTAAAAACGACTGAAGAGCGAAATACTCCGATGGCAATAAATGGAAAATTTTAGCGAAGATCATGTTTTTTTAGCGCTGACCGATCAAACATCGAGTAAGTATACTTACTTCGACTATACATATATATTATAATGTACAACAACTAAAATAAAAATCTCTGCTTCTTCAATCGCGAACAATCACAATTAATTGCAATTTCTTTCTTGGTGCGGCGCATAAAATTTCACTGCTGCACAATTATACAAATACTTATTGTATTTAATTGCTTTAGGTATGACGCATACACGTGTGTGTTCACGTATACGGACGAGTACAAGAATAGCACAGCTATCACATTGACGATTAAGACTATAGTGAATCAAATATCGACCCACGACTATGAGATATCATATCAATCAATTAGATCTATTTAATTAAAAAATATATCCCGTTGTTAGGATCTTCTTTTTCGTAATAAGTTTGTTGGCTTTTAGAGTGAGAAGAAGAAACACGATATCATTTGGAAAGAAACTATAACATTGTTTCTCTCTGAGAATTAAATATCGCTATTACGTGTTTCCATATGTATGTGTTCGATCAAAGAATTTAAAGAAATTTCAGGAAAAATAGCACATTTATACCTAAGGGAAACAGGTGTGCGGTGCGCACCTATTTTTGTTGTGAACGCTGTGGATAAAGGGAAGCGAGTGTCTCTATTTTGTTCATCAATGTTGACAAGAGTGCGGGTATAGTTGTGTGTTTCTGTGCAGTGGCGCGTTACTCGGTTGCGATTGTTCCTGCTTGCGTTGCTGATAAGAATACCGGGATTGGTGAGATTATTGCTGCTGCTGTTGTTGTTGTTGTTGTTGATGTTGACGTGATTGTAGTGTATATTTTTGTTGCTGATAGCTCTGCTGCTGCTGCTGCTGCTGTTGATACTGTTGCTGTTGCTGCTGGTACTGTTGTTCTGGTTGCTGTTGGTGCTGTTGCTGTTGCTGGCTTTGTTTTCGTTGCTTCGATCCAGCTGCCACGTACGAAAATGCGCAGAGAACAGCGTACTAAATATCAGGCGCCTATGAGCAACGAGAAAATCACTTAAACGCTACTGTTATCAAAGCTGGTTTATCACACACATGCTTTGTTTTGGTGTATCAACTATATTGTATAGAAATAGATCTCAGAACTAGTCAGTCGTAGAAATTTTGCCCATTTTACCATACTTTATTAAAAATACTTGATTAAAAATAAATAGAAGTAAAAAACAAACTTACGTGAGATGTAAGAAACGAGAAAATGTAAGGATAAATTTTAATCATTTCTGCACAGAAACACTCAAACAATTTCTACTTCAATTGGAACTTTATGTTTGTTAAGTTTTGCACAAAAAATGACACTCGCGTATAGAAGCCTAAAATGATTCAAGATTTATTACGACTAGAATCTAAAACTGTCATGCATCATTTAGCAGCCGTTGTAGCGATATTCAACTTCGTAAGCAAGGTCCAGCAATGATAGCAACATCAGCGGCGGCAGCAAACACCAACAGCAGCAGCGATAGGCGGCAGGCAACTCTGGAGATGACCTCAAACTCAATCGTAAAATGTCACTGATTGCTTAGCGTCGAGAAATTGCTAATTGCGCAATTGTATCATTTAATACTAATCACCGACCGGTGAGTGTGATTCGATCGACAATGATACACGATCGTGATGTCTAAATATTAAAAAAAGAGATGATAATAAATAAAGAGATTGAGAAAAGCGTAAATTACTGACGATAACGGATGTCACTGTTGGGAAAGTAACATCCGACTCGATATACGATTTTGTGTGAAACAACGCAGCACACACAAAATATAACTGCTATATAACATGGGAGTAACATATAATGTAACAGTTGTTATACTTGATTTATATTGGGATTAAATAATTTTTTCTTATTTATACAATATAACTCTGTAATGAATTAATTATATAGTTCGTTACTTACTGGCAAGAACTAGATAACAATAAAGTAATGTAACATGTTATATGACAAACTTTATGTCTGCTAGGGCTGCGGCTTAAATTCGAATAACAGTGTGATTCGGATATCTGGATATTCGAATATGATATATATGTACGAATAAACTTCGATCAACGGATAGTATTCGAATATCCGGATACTTTGTGCAGCGAATAGTACGAATAGTACTATTCGAGTTATTCGAATATCCGTATTATCCGGATATTTCGATATACTCAGTAGCGTATAAACTAGCTTGGGACC